CCCCCCCCCCCCCCGCCCCCAACACAGTCCTTTTTGGTGGGATTACCTACAGTATGGCAAACCTTGAAACCTGTTCTAAGCGTTAAAGCGCTTCGGAAACCCTTAGACACCTGAATATGCCGGAACAGCACGTACCTAAACCCAGTAACCCTAAACCCTANNCCCTAAAGCCCAAACCCCTAAACCCAAACCCCCTAAACCCTAAACCCTAAACCCCTAAACCCTACACCCCTACAACCCAAACCCCTAAAACCCAAACCCCTAAACCCTAAACCCCTAAACCCCTAATCCCTGTGGGTGGAGAGAAGCGTATTGGCGCTTTCAGGCTTCAGGACTGTTACTCGGTTTAGGGTTTAGGGCTTTTGGGCTTTAGAGTTTTAGGGTTCAGGGTTTACGGTTTTATGGTTTAGGGCTTTAGGGTTTTAGGGTTTAGGGTTAAGGGTTTGGTGTTTAGGGTTTAGGGTTTGGGGTTTAGGGTTTTAGGGTTTTAGGATTCTAGGGTTTAAGGGTTTTAGGGTTTTAAGGTTTAGGGGGTGTAGGGCTCCAGGGTTTTAGGATTTTAGGGTTGGGGGTCTTAGGGAGTTCCGTTGTCAGGGTGTTAATATACGGGCCTTGAGGTTCCGGGGTTTAGGGTTTAGGGTTTAGGGTTTAGGGTTTAGGGTTTAGGGTTTAGGGTTTAGGGTTTAGGTAGGGCTTCAGGGCTTTAGGGTTTGATGTAGGGGCCTAAATAATTACCTATACGAGTTCGGGGGGTTCTTTATTATAATTGCAGTTCAATGGGCCTCAAAACCCTGTTCTAATTATTAAGGCCCCTACATCAGGTTTTCAAGTTTAGGGGTTTAGGCTTCAGACCAGCTCCGTGAGGAGGTAAGAGCCTAAACCCTAAACCCCAAGACCCTACTATAGGAGCCTAAAGGCCCTAAACCCCTATTCTAATTATTAAGGCCCCTACGTTAAACCCCCATGAGCTGAGGTGGTCCTCGGAAAGGAGGAGTGCGATCCTCCTGGAGAGGGGTGCACCAGCGAGTGCAGGCTCGAGGAAGGATGGGAGTGGGTGCCTTTGGAGAGCCCTGGAGGCAGGACGTACTATAGGGCCCTAAATAAATAAACCCTAAACCCTAAACCCTAAACCCTAAACCCTAAACCCTAAACCCTAAACCCTAAACCCTAAACCCATACCAATACGATTTTTGGGGGCCTCATCTTTTGACTTTAGTAGAGTATACCCCAAACCTTGATGCTAGTTATTAAGGCCCCGGTGTTAGGCTGGTTGAGAGTTCTTGGAGGATCTTGGAGGATCATGGGACTTAGTAAGTAAGGTTATAAGTCCCTTAATTGGGGTTATAAGTAAGTATAAGTATAGTTACCTTAATTATAACCGTACTTACTAAGTCCCATGATCCTTTAAGTTGAGGGTGGTGTATAGGAACCCTAAACCCTAAACCCTAAACCCTCAACCCTAAACCGACTTAGGGTGTAAGGCGACGAACTGTTCGGTTGAAAGTGTGAGACTTTCGGGGTTTCGATGGGTCGAGTTGTACTTTCGGGTTTAGGGTTTAGGGCTTAGGCTTTTAGGGTTTAGGGTTTAGGGTTTAGGGTTCAGGGTTCAGGGTTTAGGGTTTAGGGTGGGGGTTGGGATGTGTGAAGGAATTCCTGCTGCAAGCAGCAGTTTAGCCTTTGTCTCCCGAGCCTGCCTTGCAGGTAAGCCTTTCCTTTGCGAACCCTGTATTATGACTGTGGCTTACTAAGCCAGAACCAATTTCCGGCACCACCAGGCCCTCAACCATTAATCCTAAACTGCCTCAGCCAACAAGGAAGAAAGCTGCTTCCATCTGCGGTGATGGGCTGGTTGTCGGAAAAGTACCTTAGCTGGAACCTGGAGGTGAAAACTTGACCGTACAAACTTCAGGTTTAAGGTTCAATTCAAATCCAAAGTATGGAAGCGTCCGAAAATATGAATTCTTTACAGGGTCTGGAATCGTCTAGGGGTGCTGTTCGGATATCAGCTGTGCTCTAAAGGTCCATGGCGTTGGGTTGTTATAAGACTTGCTTAAGCTCTGAAGTCCTGATGTTACAAGGAGTATCATGGTATTTCAAGCATCGCTGCCTCCTGCCGTAGATGTTCTCTCCAGGGCTCAGGGTCTACGGTCCAAAACCCGCAACTTCTGATTGCTGAGGCTTTGTTATTGCCACCGCATGCCAACATCCGTCTGTATCACGAACACCGGGTGCCATGACCATGATTCCGTGAGAAGCAATAAGAGTACTGTTATCATGTGTTCCTTCTGAACGAAATCTTTGGTTTTGCGGGGACAAGACAGATCTTCGTCAGAGCTCCAAAGCCCTAAACCAACCCCTAAGCCCGTAAGTCCGCAACTCGAAGCCGGGCAGGAGCAATGCGACAAGGGGGAATGTTGCGCTGACGACTGCACCCTGCTGCAAGGATGGGGGGGCAATGAAACTTCGGGTTTATAGGGCCTCGGCGAGTGTATGTAAGTCTTTTGACAGATGTTGGTGAGTGGGCATTTGGGGCTGTCCTTGTAATGATACCCTATGAACCCTAAACCCTAAATCCTTAGGGTTGAGGGTTTGGGGTATAGGGTGCTTGACTGGAAGGTTCTGTTTGCTGTTGCAGCTCCTGCTAAGACCGTCAGGCCCTCAACCCTGAACCTAAACCCTCTGAACCCTAGGCCCCAAACCCGAAGACCCCAAAACCTCAACCCTCTACTCGTCAAGCCCCAAACCCAGGCCCAAAACCCTCAACCCTGAATTTTCATCCTAAAACAAATGAACTTTCATCCTGACAGCGGGAGGATGGCAGTGGCAAAGTGAAAGCGGCTGCAAGCCCATCTGTGGCGATGAGAAGGTTCCTTGTTGGGATTTAGGGCTTCAAGGGTTTAGCGTTTACGGGTTTAGGGTTTTAGGGGTAGGGGTTTAGCGGCTTCGATTTTTTAAAGTTAAGTAGGTGTTCAGACTATTGACAGCCGACAAAACACCGATGACCCCCCGCTAGACCCCTAGCTTTTTTCTGGACACAGGTGGTTGGGGATGAAGAATGCGATCCTCCCGGGATGGATTGCACCGCAGATTGCAAGAAAAGAGCAGCTCGCCTCCATGTTTCGGGGTTAAGCAGGTGCTGGGATTAGGGGGCATGGTTCCACCCTACCCAGACAGTCGGAGCAAAACAGCATGAATACGGTTTCATGCAATTTGGGTGAAAAAACGCACAGGTCTTTCCATAATTGAGCATATGGTCTTGGGTCAGCATACACTGAGGTTCGGGGTTCAGGACTCTCCAATAGAATTCAACCCTAAAGCCTAAACCCCTAGACCCTAAGCCCTAAGTTGAGTTTGGGGTGTCGGGCTTGGCATTGAGTGAGGCTTAGGGATCGTCGTGGTGTTTAGATTGCAAGACTGGGCAAGGCAATGTTGGGGTTTAGGGTTTAGGGGCACGCTCATCAGGTTCAATGCGCAGTATTTCTACTAGTTTGGCTGTCATTCATAGCTGCTTCTAGAACTCAAAGCAATCCAAAGCAGAGAGATCAATATACCATGAACTGAACAGGGGTTCTTGAATATGATTTACGATAGTAGTCCTTGACCAAACTTTAACAAACCCTAAACCCCAAAACTGGAGGTTAGGGTTTAGGGTTATGGGTTGGGCATTGCAGCAACCTTAAACCCTAAACCCTAAACCCTGAACCCTGAACCCTGAACTCTAAACCCTAAACCCTAAACCCCAAAACTGAACCTCCTTGGGGCAGAGCTTTCCATGTGGGACTTTCCGAAATTATGGTACCTTATTTTGGGATCCTTATAATAGGGATCCTATTATTTAGGGTACCATATTAGGGTCCCCTATTTCGGAAACCCCCATATTGCTAGAGCTGAACCCTAGACCCTAAACCCTAAACCCTAGACCCTAAACCCTAAACCCTGAACCCTAAACCCTAAACCCCAGAGCTTTCCATGCCTCCAGGTCGATCTGTTAGCCGGCCTAGAGTGCGACTACTTCTACGACAAGTCTCAGTGCCGCCTGCCGGACTTCACTACCCTGACGCCCGGCTTGTTTGTTTAGGGTTTAGGGTTTAGGGTTTAGGGTTTTGGCTGCGTTCGGAAATTCCGGAGTTTATCTTGCGGCTTGTATGTTTGGGCTTATAGTCCAGGAATTAGGGTGTAGAGCTTAAGAAGTTATAGTCTAGGAATTAGGGTGTAGAGCTTAAGAAGTAGGGCTTGTGTGCCCTGCTGCAGCAACGCCGAAGCCGAAGTTTCATGCCTAACTTGCACATGGCACCTCAATAGGGTTTAGGGTTTAGGGTTTAGGGTTTAGGGCCTAACTTCAGGACACCGGAACATCGAGAGATCGTGCCGGAGATCTACATGGACCGGGATTGGGAAAAGCTGTTGATCTTCTTGCACTCATGCATGTTGCGCGCTTGCAGTGATTTGCATCCCGGTCAGTCCAACGGGAAGTTCCCCAAGATACGTCAACTGGATCAGTTCTGTGTGAGGCAGGGCTTGCATCGGTTTGGGGTTCCCCGCAGTTCGGAAATCTGTGGCAGGTGCACTGGTCTTCTGGTCACGAAGAAAGAGGGTAACTACAAGTTCTTCCTCGCCTCAGATGATGGTGCTCTGCACGCAGCAAGCAGTGGTCCCGCATAACCATAGGTTGAAGAGAGCGTGTGCTTGCAGCTGAGTTTGTCGTGAGGCTCCCTCATGTGGTTGAACGGGGAGCAGGTTGTCGACAACAACGATTGCCATGGAGAAAGGGAGAGGGGAAGCAGCGACAAGTTCCTGAAGCCAGGTGCCCATGAGATCAGGGTAGAGATGTGCGAGAACTACGGCGGCGAAAACCTCAAGATGCGCTACCAGGGTCCGGATACCGGCGACGCCAAGGTGAAGGTCCCTGCTGCAGTCCTCAAGCACGAGAAGGCATTCCCGATTTGACAGCGGAGCGTATTACAGTAATATCGGGGCCTTAATAATTCGAGCAGGGTTTGGGGTATATTATGCTATAATTATAATAAGGAACCCCCAAGTATAGGTAATTATTTAGGCCCCCCAAACCCTATTCTAATTATAAGGCCCCTACAGCCCTGCAGTAAGCCGACTCACGACGTGCACTGGCCGTGTCGTCTGGAGTGCTGGTGTTTCCGGCGAGGATTTGAGCTGTAGCTGTTCGTGTGGCCAAGTTTCGGCGGTGTTATTGGGGTTTAAGTTTAGGGTTTAGGGTTTAGGGTTTAGGGCCATTTAAGGTCGCAGCGTTCGGCGGTAAATTGCTTGCCTTCACGCAGGTGCAATGCTCCGAGCGTAAAACATGCTGCCTAGACGGGACCCCAAAGCCATGAATCCTAATCTCTCTACCCTAAACCCTAAACCGAATACATCCTTCACCGATGCCACGTCTACCAAACCCTAAGTAAGAGTTCAAGATTTACAATTTCGAGTGTAGGAGTTTGAGTTTAGGGTTCAGGGTTTAGGGGGGAGTAGGCGCTTGACCGTCGAACTTAAGTGCGAAACAAGTCAGGGAGGAAGAGAAAAGGAGAAAGACAGATGGTTTTTACATGTATATATGTGTATGTGTGTATATATATATCTACATACACGCAGACCTACATACATGCACACATACACGCACACAAATACATACATACATACATACATGCATACATACATGCATACATACATACATACAGACATACAGGCATACAGACATACGGACACACATACAGACAGGCAGACAGACATGCATTCATACAAATTTGCATATACAAGATTTTTTACAGACAACTTGATCGGAGTGATGCAATCCGTTTCCCTCTCTGTCAGACAGTGGACAGAGAGGCGTGCTTTCATGCAGGCGGAGCCACCCTCTGGCTCTGCGAAAGGAAGACAGATCAAGATGCTAGAGATTATGGGGACACTCTAGACTCTACCCAAAACCCTAAGACCTAAACCCAAAACTTTCATTGATACGAGGCCCGAAGCAGATCTTGGATGCCGAGTAGCAGGATCTTTCTTGATTATAAGAACCCCCCAGCAACAACAAAAAAAAACATATATATATATATATATATACATATGTACATATATTATATATATGTATATATATATATATATTAATGATAATAAGATTAATAATAATAATAACAAATAGATTTTTTTTAGAAAAAAAATATATATATATATATATAGGACATGAGACCCAGCTCTGACCCTTGGCAGAAACTGGTGCCCTGGTTCATGGGCAACAGCGGGGAAACCTGCGACTCGGTGCCGTGGCTGATTCTACGCTTGGGCTGGGGGTTTAGGGTTTAGGGTTTAGGGTTTAGGGTTTAGGGTTTAGGGTTTAGGGTTTAGGGTTTAGGGCAGCATTTCCGGATTTAGGATTATGTAAGGTTCCAGGGTTTGGGGGCTTGTGAGGAACGCGAACAGCATCGAGCAGCGTAGGATTGCATCCGGAATAAAAGACACCCCAGCCCCAACCTACCAGCGCTGTGCGACTCCTCACACAATCCTCAGCCGCATTCCCCCCCCCCAAAAAAAAAAAACCTATTCTGCTGGCTGCTACAAACCTAGTGTCAGAAATGCATCACAGCGATCCTCAACCCCGATCCTGAAGCCTGCACGGATGCCGCATGTGTTGCCCAGATCACCAGGGGATCTATTGGAGGTCGTTTCCCTGTGTTGGTGTTGTCAACCACCCACGACATCACATCTCCTCTTGGCTCGTCAAATTCTGACTCGAAACGGGGGTTGGTTCTCATAAGCCCTCCAGTCTCGATACTGGTATTTTACGAAAGAACCCGATGAAAAGTCAAGAATTACCGGGGCCTCTTGGAACAGGTGTGCGAGCGCAACTCCTACGAGCAATGTGCCGCTGAGATGAGAGAGTTCTAGTCTCGACGGGGTTTAGGGTTTAGGGATAGCCCGCACAAGCCCTAAACCCTAAAGCCGTCTGAATCCTGAAACATAAACCTCTGTGGCGCTAAGCCGCACATCCTGAAAACAAGCCTCAAGCCGACAAAATGTCAATCCGGCACCGTGAGGCCCAGCACCCTTAAACCCAGCCGCCTTACGGCTAAAGAGCTCCTATAGGTATGTTAGGGCTGCCCGTACCATTAAGGCTTGCAGGTTGAAGGGTTCCGCGGTTTAGGGTTGAGGACGTTTGTTTAGGACTCAAAGAGCATCGTAGAGGCGGACTACCTTTGTGACCTTAGCACTAAACCCTAAACCCTTAACCCTTAAATCCCTAAACCCTAAACACTAAACCCAGCAAAGTGTGGCGACCGGGCCATTGAGAAGCAACTGCCTAGAACTCGATGATCTTAGATTGCAGACCCTGAAGTTGGTACCTATAGTCTCCATTGTAGTTCCTTTTCGGGGATACCTGATAAAATCCTTAATATATATTTGGTTAAACCCCCAAAAAGGAACTACAATGGAGACTATAGGTTCGTGCACATGGAACTCTAAATATTGCAACCCTGTTCACAAACCCGAATCCCAAGGATAAGGAGCAGATGGTGGCCCTCTCCAGTAACGAGAAAGTCTCAGCGGCCTTCCGCGAAGTGGGCTACCACTGCAGGGGTCGCGCGCCAAGTGTGGATTTATTTTTGTGGGTTTTGATTTTATAGCTATTTAAGGCTGTAGAGATGTTAGTTCTTAGAATTCCGGCTCCACTCCGAGGGTCCGTGATGGCATGAATCTTAGGAAACGCATCATTCCGGTACCCATCCCTCAACCCCGAACCAGAGCCCTAAATCCTAAACCCCTGAACCCTAAACCCCGATAGATCTTCAATCCCTGAACCCCTATCATCTCAACTCTGACCCGCAAGCCCCGAAACCCCCAAGCCCTTAGCCCTTATCCGAAACCCGAATGGGGTTTAGGTTTAGGGAATCCGAAAGGCCTTTGAATTTGAAGCCCAAAACACACCCCGAAACACCTAAACCCCAAAAGCCTATAGATCCCTTGAAGGAATCCTTACAGGGGTTTCTGGCCAAGGCTACCACGGAGCCCGAAATTATCCAGGCAGCCCTTTCTCCACGGGCAGAAACGACGACTGCGCGCCAGCTGTTGGGTTGATTTTAGGGAGTCTTCTTAAAACGTTTAGGGGTTTCGAGGGTTTGGGGTATGGGGTTGAAGGGTTTAGGGTAACCCTAAACTTTAAACCTAAAACCCTAAAACCCTTAAACCCCAAACCCTAAACTCTGAACCCTGAACCCTAAACCGTAAACCTTAAACCCTAAAAGCCCGAAACCTTAAACCCTAAAAACCCGTAAACCGGGGTTTGGCGGTCGGCACCCTAAACCTGAAACCCTAAACCCTAAACCCTAAACCCTAAACCCTAAACCTCAAACCCTAAACCCTAAACCCTAAACCCTAAACCCTAAACCTTAAACCCTAAACCCCAAACACTTAAATCCCGGAGGGCCCATGCAGAGACCGGGGCCCTCTGGGTCTCAAATTTATGGTTTGGGAGTTTAGGGTTTGGGGTTTAGGGTTTAGGGTTTGGGGTTTGGGGTTAAGGGTTTAGGGTTTGGGGTTTAGGGTTCAGAGTTGAGGGTTTAGGGTTTATTAAACCGCTTTTTTCGTTGTCGTTCAGAGTTTGGTGCGTTGAGTCGTTGAGCTTGGCTTATGTTGCAGAAGATGTCTGGACCTTAGGATGCTGGCATTTTTTGTTGGGAGTTGAATTTGTCTGATGCTTTGCAGGATATTCTCCCTGGATGTTCGGTTCCAATGCCGTTGTCATGCAGAGCTCAGGTTACTCCCGGAACCAATCCGAGCTCATTGAGTTGCAGCAGGAACCAAGGTGGTGGCAAGCCTCTCTGCGCCTGCAAAGAAAAGAAGGCCACTTTCGGGCTATGAGGCTTTCGGGTTTCAGGGCTCAGAGCCTATAGGGTTTACTGTGTTGAGTGTTTCGGGTTTGGGTTTATGGAGCTGTAATTGACAAAGATTCATACGTAGAAATTTCAAAGGCCTTTTGTCAGGGTATCATCACGGTTTAGGGCTTAGGGCTTGTAGGATGTTGCTTCGTACGGCCTCCTCGACTAAGTACTGGAGCTTCCAGGTACGGAGCAAACATAGAAAAAATAACCCTAAACCCTAAATCCTAAACCCTGAACCCTAAACCCTGAACCCTAAACCCTAAACCTTAAACCCTAAACCCTAAACCCTAAACCCTAATCCATGTTTGGGTGATGAGGCCTTCCCAGCTCTCGTCTACAGCATAAATTGATCCGTATAAGCTCAAGTAAGCCAACGAAGCCAAGAGGGTTTAGGGTTTAGGGTTTAGTGTTTAGGGGTTTAGGGTGTAGGGTTTAGGGTTTATGCACATAATTTCACATAATATCTAATCCGTCCGATGGCACAGTCACGGCTGGGAAGCAAAAGAAGCACACAGGCCTGCCCGCAAAAACAAAGCCCGAAAAGCCTTAACACCCGGAACACTATAAAACAAGCACCTAAGTTTGACCCAAGTGTTAAGCCCCCAAACCCCAAACCTAAGAACATGAACCCTGAACCCTAAACCCTATAAACCCTAAACCCTAAGCCCCAAAACCCCAAACCTGGGAACATGAATCCTGAACCCTAAACCCTATAAACCCTAAGCCCTAAACCTAAGAACATGAACCCAAAACCCAAAACCCTATAAACCCTAAACCCTAAACCCTACGCCCCAAAACCCCAAAACCGAGAACATGAACAAGCTGCAGGACAGGGTGTGGTTCCAGGCCAGCTTCGCGCAGCCGTGCAACAAGGTACTTTGTCTGTTTTGGGTTTGGGGTTTAGGGCTTAAGGGGTTTAGGGCTTGGGGTTTAGGGTTTAAGGTTTGGGGTTTAGGGTTTAGGGTTTATTGGGTTTGGGGTTTAGGGTTTAGGGTGCTAGGTGTTTCAACCATTATGGTTTAGGTTTGAGGTTCTAGTGTTGGTTTCCCGAGAGTCGTGGTTTAGAGTCTAGAACGTACGGTAGTAGGGTTGTCAGGTCTTTTAGAGCTGGGGTTAGGGGGCCCTAAACCCTAAACCCCTAAACCCCTAAACCCTAAACCCTAAACCGTAACCCTAAACCCCTAAACCCTAAACCCTAAACCCTAAACCGTAACCCTAAACCCCTAAACCCTAAACCCCTAAACCCT